TTATAGTATTTGAATAGAACATGCGGTATTTCTTCAGATGACATAATTTTTGTGCACTCTGAGTTAGAAAATGAATGAGATGTAACGCTGTTAATTGATCGTAGCGCCGAAGTGTCGCTATGGTAAATAAATAGTAAACTTTAAAGAATGCATTAATTCTATTGTGGTTTATGCGCTATCAACGAAGTAGTTTTAATTCAAAATTCGTTAAGTGTTAATTCAATATGTTTAAATGAAATGCAGAAAAATTGCGCCTAATTAAATATTCCATACAAGGAAGTTATGTGGTGTACACATCAGATTTTGTTTACATTTGCAAATTTGCAGAATAATGAATTCCAGTTTCTGCACCTTCAGTGTCTTTTTGCCGAGTGTGACAAATATCTACTTTTGCGCACCGAAAAAATCTACATTTTTATCCATTGACCAAATTGTTTGTTTTTGTTTAGAAATTCTCGTTTCAATAACAGAATTTATAGTACGAAGGAAGTACTGCAATCGCGAAAAGTTTCGGGTATCATATTTCAACGCAAATATCCATTTCCACCGTTATCGAATGTAATTTAACAATGTTTTTGTGTACCATCTGTACGGAAGGACTAAATAAAGGATTCTTTTTTCCCCCCTGAAAATTATCAAACTAATATAAATGGACTCTGAAGGGATTTTTTTCGTGGCGTCTGTGCGTACACACGTACGAGGTGTGACTCAAAAAAACGAGCCTATGTGTGTAGCTTGAAAAAAGAGTGGAGTTGGTAACAACTAATTTGGTGACGTCATCCCACACACTTCCTTTATTCATGCGGCCAGTTTCGACTTAACCGATCACGCCAGTGAGGAGCACTGCGTCATTGAGTGAATACGTGCAAATGCATTTTGCCGGAAAAAATGTCTAATGTAAAAACCGAACAGCGAATCAACATCAAGTTTCTTGCGAAACTTAAGGTATCAGCCACGGAAACATTTCACATGTTGACTGAGGCTTATGGAGATGAAACTTTGTCTTGTGCATGTGTGTTTGAAAGGCATAAGCGGTTTTCAGGTGGAAGGGACATAGCACGCATGTCAAAATTAAAATTCAAGTTAATGTTAATTGCCTTCTTCGACATAAATGGAATTGTCATGATTCAGTGGGTCCTCAGTGGTCAGACTGTTAGTCAACACTGCTACACTGATGTACTAAAAAGACTTCGTGAAAAAAATTAGGAAAAAAAAAAGGACATAGCTGTGGAGTGATGGAGGGCTATTGTACCACGACAATGCACCCGCTCACAAGGCCCTATTTATCAAGCAGTTTCTGACCAGCAAAAACATTACTGTGATGGAGCATCCTCCTAATTCACCTGATTTGACTCCATGAGACGTTTTTAATTCCTAAAGCTAAATTTAGCTTAAAAGGAAGCCATTTTACTTCAATTGAAGAGGTTCAGGTGAAAACGGATAATCTCCTGAAGGGCTTTCCAAACCTCGTTCCTGAACTGTTACCAGCAATGGCAGTACCAGATATAGAAATGTGTTAATATTGAAAGAGACTACTTCGAAGGTGATAATGTCACGGGAAACTGATTCTGTATGAACAATGATTTATTGGTTCAATCTCATTTTTTTTTATGTCACACCTCATATGTATGTATCTCGCATAATTCGAAAACGAGTAGACTCACAACGTTGAAATTTTGTATAAAGGATTGCTTTCTTTCTTTCTTTCCACCGACAGCGAGGCAGCCGGTCCACTGAGTAGTTAGCATATCGGCCAGGTAACATGTAGATGTGCACCTTCTATCTTGGTACTATTTGAAACTTAGCAGAATAGTGGATTTGTTGCCAAACTAGAGAAACTAAGCTGCACGACGACAAAGATTTAAATTATGCTCAATCCGTTCTGGAATTTATTTGAAGAAATAAGTTTTTAATATTTACTTCGTAATTTTTAATTATTCTTCAGATGATATAATTTTTGTGCATTCTGAGTTATAAAATGAATGAACCTAGTGTCAGAATATCAAGAAAAGTCGCTGAGTGAGAACTGAATTAACTGAAGAGGAAATTTATCTCTAATACAATTCCAGCAAATAAGTTGAAATGAAATGCAGCAAAAATGCGCATAATTTATGCAAGGAAAAAAAAAATAAAATGCGCAAGGAAGTCATGGGGTGTACACATCAGATTTTTTTATCTTTTTAACTATATTATTAAACATCACTTTCTTCGCATTTATGCATATAAAATTCAACAGCAAAAATCGCAGCATTTTTAAAAACAGTATACAGTTTCTGATAAAACGTTAAGTGTTGTCATACGGTAGAGACATTTGGATTTTTTGGAAACATGAAAGATGTGAAATATGCAACGCCTTCACCGGGAATCGAAGTGCGGATCTCTCAATTACGCGCTGAGCGTGCAGACCACCACACCACGAAGGCTTGCTAAGAAGGCGGGAGAAATGCCTTGTAATACATTTTCTATTTGTTTCGCATTTCATTCTACACTTGGGAATAGTGAGAGTTTTACCAAGATTGCTTACGCAAGTTTTTTTGTCTTTTTAACTACATTTACTAAACATGACATTCTTCGCACTTTGCCACATAGAATTCAACAGAAAAATACAATATTTTTAAAGAACATATCATTAGAATTCCCGATAGGATGTTAAATGTTGCCATATATTTTTTCATTTCTTTAAAAATAATATATGCGATAACATCTAATGATTTCTGAAGCCTTTTTATTGGAAAAGTGATACGGAGCGAAAAGTGAGGATCGAAGTTTATAGCGCCTCTGGTGCTATACCACTAATAGCACGAGAACTAATAACACCTCTGTTGTTAAAGAAATGCAGTACTTGAATAATTCCATAGATTTTATTTTATGAATGATTACCATAAATTTCATTTGTAAATTCAATGTTTCCAAACTTTTATTTAATGCTAAAAAGGTTCGTCCTTGTAACCGTTTATACAGAATTCATCAACATCCAAATCATAGTGCCACGTGTGCTTGTTTTTTACACACACTCACGCATAGCGTTGAGTTTACGTGTGTGGGAACCGTAACGAACGAATAATCCGTAAACAGCATAAACTGTAGAAAAACAATCGACACTACAATATACTTTATTAATTTGGTCATCTTAAATTATCAGAATTCTTACTCGAGATACCAATGTTCGAGATAGCTTAAGATTATTTAATAAATAAGATTTGAAAATTCGCTATTTTCTTTATGTATCTAGTTTTCCAAATAACTAAAATTTATAAATATTCGGAATGATTTAAGATTACGTTCATTAATCAGATAAGACACTTTATCTCTTTTTATCAGCATTCAGTTCATTTTTTCGTAACGGATACCTTCTTCCCATTCCGTATTTTTAACGGCAAGAATTTACTAGTCATTAGCTTGAAGCCGTCGCAAACTCCAAACACTTGATTCCACTACCATTATCAGGAACCAGCAATTAAAAGGATATCCAGTTTTAACAATCCTTAGGGGAGAATTGATAAATTTGGATATCCCTTTTTTTTTTGCTTTTTTTTTTGCTTTTCAATATTGTCTGAAACAGAGATTAATGTTTTCTTCTTAGTACTGTTAAGACCGTCTGATAATTTATCTGCTTTTCTATGCTTTAATTACTTGTTTAGATCTCCTTTTTAAACTCTGTCAATTTTTAAAAAAATCTCCAGAGATTATATAGGACTACGTTTTTGCTTTTCTAAGCTCATTCACTCTAAGCTTATAATGATGCTCATTTTTACAAACTGGAGCCGTAACAGTATTTTGTATTGCGATTACTTATGAAGAAGGTTAAGGTGGAAGAATTATAACTGCATTTGGCATTTCGCATCATTTGCAAAAAAGACAGTTTGGATGAGCTCCTAAACTAAGGTTATCGCATTTGAACAACCGCCTGTTATTCAGCCTTAAATACTTTGATCAGCTTTATCATTTGGAACGAAATTTCAAAAAAGGTGTTTCATGTATTAATTGCTTTTAGCTGTGCGCAATGACCTCGTTTATAGATTTCCCATACTACCAAGATTTAGAAAATTTCTTAAAAACGAACGTCGATATAAATTTTTATTTGGTTTAATTTTTAGTTTTGATGTTCTTTTCTAACATACCCGTGCATAACCCAGGGTTTGCAAATACTGGTTTAGTACTATACTCTGATGTTTTTAGCTCTGGGAGAGTAAAATATACAGACCCGGCTAATATTAATTCAAAAGGCAGCCTATGCTGTCCAGGAGGGTAGTGGCGTATGCCATCCAAGTAGGTAGAGCGATGGCCAGATAAAGGTTTCAAAATGTTTCCACACACTCAGGACGTGATCCTAGAAAGCCGGTTCAGCGATGTGGTGCTTAAGATAGAGCTCTTTTTAAACGACCGCCACTTGTGCATTGGGAACCCAGCGGCGTTGTGGCGTTGGCCAGGGACCACGCCTTCGTCCTGTCCTCGCGAACTAAAACCTGGCACTAGATTTCAGAATACAGCCAGTTGACGAAAAACTTCCGATATTTTCGCAAAGCATGATACTTTCAGACAAATGATAATTCTGATATTTTCACATTGATAGTCATAATATCGTTATGTTCTTAACTTGAACGTTGTTCTACTCAGGATAAAGCTAATGTCTATGAGCCTGCTATCAGTGACATCATTCATCTAAGTCTTCTGGGCAGCTTTTGAACCCATCGCATAATTGAGGTTAAGGAGTAACCTCCATGTAGCAAGTTTAATTATGGCGAAACATGCAGAAATTAATAACCCTAAACCGTCACAGTTAAACATCCTTTAGTTATGGCGAAACATGCAGAAATTAATAACCCTAAACCGTCACAGTTAAACATCCTTTAGTTATGGCGAAACATTAATATTATTTATTATTATTTTACCTGTATATCGAGGTCAAATGAAATTCATCGCAATAATTAAGCAATGATCCCAATCCAGAAAGGATTCATGCTAAAATATCGAAATGTGAGTAAAAGAGAAGTACTTACCGTTTTGTAAAACATGCAGGACATTCTATCTTCATCTTCTGCCGCTGCACAATCTATGAAGCCATCGCATAACATGTGATCGTCTATACACCGGTAGCGTCCCATTCGGTCTGGTGTCGGACAAGCGAATCTTTCTAAACCGTCATCAGAAGGTGCACATTCTGAAAAGAAAACAACTATTATTCTGCTACTTCATATCACAATTTTACTATGGAAAAGTAAATACGTATTATAAAACTATTCACCCTCCCCTCCCGCTTGTGCCGATACTAACCGGACAGCGCTCTAAACCAGTCATACAAAAAAAAAAAAAAAAAAAAAAAAAAAAAAATCAAACTTGATTTTAATCTGTCTACCATGTAATTAATATACAGTTACCAAAATAAAGAACTACGTTTATTGCTTTTAGATCGCTCAGTTTGTTGATCATTAATAGAAAGACTAAATACGAAAGAAAAATTAAGTATTTTATCTTCCGCCGAATAGGAACACTTTTAGGAAATGGAAGATAAACGTATTTTATTTCGTGCAGTGGCAACACATTTGTTTTAAATCGTTGCGTTTGTTGATCATATTTTTCAAACAACTATCTTACGCTTCGCCGAGAGATAACATGTTTCTGTGAAATCACTAAGCTTTCTGATTAATTTTCAATATAAATGTTATCTTATACTTTCAGGACACAAGAGGACACGTCCTGAATATTTTACCATTGGGGGGAAAACTAAATAAAAAAAAATATTTGTAAACTGTAAATTATGATAAAATGTTGAAAAACTAATAATACAATACTAGTTGAGCAACGTATGTGCTTAGGAACATTTTCTTTAATTATATCAATGCTGGAAATTTTCTTAAAATTATCACATAATCATATTATAACTTATAATTATATGGTAACATACGTCTGATTCAGTGAACGTTCTCAAAGAAAACTACTCGCGCTCTTTTGATTTTGTTATGATCATCTTAAAGAAGACTAAACTAAAATTAAACTCAGTGGCGCAAACAGCCCCAATGGGCAAAGGCCTGTAGTGCCCCGAAATTTGCTTTCTTGACCGTGGGCCCCGGGGTGTGTAAGCATATGCCCTGAACAAGTGGTCAGCTTATCGCAGGACACCCAGTGTTTAGTCCCCAAGTGAACTTGGTACTCATTTTATCGACCCAAGGGATGGAAAGCTTAGTCAACCTTGCTCAGCCCGGGGTTCGAACCCCGGACCTGTGGTACTGCTGCGCGATGCGCTAGCCACTGCGTCACCGGGCCTCTGATCGTCTTAAAGAAGTGTTGTTCAAACGCGATGTTTGTTAATGTTCACAGAAATAATGGTCACTTTCAGAGGTGGTCGGCGCACGAGCGTTCACTGCACTATTATTGCAATGTGTTCATTAGTTTTAAACCGCTCAAGTATTAATCGATGACAGAGTAATTAAATTTAAAAGCTATATCAAAGATATTATTATTCGTCTGGTGGCAACAATCCTAAGAAACGAGTACGGACTACGTATGGATAAACTAAAAATCTTACGTTTTGCACATTGACAATACTTGTAAGAGCTTTTCACATTTTTCGTTTGAAACTTTCTGAGGCATTATAATGTATGCAGATTTTATTTTGTCTGGACAGGAGATTCTGTGTTGAGTGGAGTAAGATCTTTTCGACAGAGAAACACGTGAAAATGCCCCTTACTAACATCCGGAGTACTTTTCCAGCAGAACGTATTGCATTGTCAAACTATTTTATTTAATGAAACTGTATATTAGTAGTATTATTATGGTAAAGCAAAAGTTTCATTTTTATCTTCAATATTATATTTTTTTGGCAAAAAATCTTGAAAGGTCCTTTGAATAATAGATTTCAGGTACATGATCGCCCTCACGTACACATAAAATATTTTCTTATTCACAAAATCATTTCTAAATTTGCATTGATAGTTACAAATTAATTCAGAAATTTAAATGAACCAGTTTTATTATAACATATAGAAGTCAAAAATAAGGAAAATGCTTTTTAATTCGAATTCTTAAAAAGAATAATATATTTCTGAACAAAATTAGTACCTCAATCATTAACTTTTTCTCGGAGAAAAATGAAATAAGTTCACCCGATATATTTAAGTAACATAAACCAAAAACTTAAGGTTTGTTTGATGAACAGAAATTGATACAAAAATTAACCAAAATATTAAGTAAACACGAAGAACCAAAATAAAAATTTAAAAAAAACACTTACTATTTTAAATTTTTAAAACATTTTCTTATACCACAATCGCTTTGTGGTTACTGCTCCGCAGTTTCACATATCCTTTAATTTCGTCTTTTAAAGTTTCGAACATCTGAATTAATTTTATGAAATAAGTTGTTTCAACTTTGAAGAATGAAATTGGTCAATTTTTTGAAGACTCTTATGTGTAATACTATACATCTGTATTAAAATTTGAAATATTCGGCACTTCAGTTCCACAAAAAATGACTTCTGTAAAACAAACAAATATACTCTCCATCCAATATTCAACGAGTTTCACCAAAAAACATATTTCTATTCTATAAACCTCGGTCCGTCCACGGGTTTGCGTTTGTAAATGTTCCTTCATATTCAAATCTATGAAAAGTATTTTTGTTGCTATGACATATAATTCTGTAACTAAATGCTCTGCATAACATTACTACGAATTTTTCATGCAAGTACAGTGGATGGACAAAAATATGGAAACACCTTGTGAAATGCATGTTTGAAAAGAAAGATTGATTTTAATGAAATATGTAGGTGGCGCTGGCGTTTTTGACTACTGACGCCACCTATATAACTTCGTAAATGTGCTAAACAGTTCAGTTGTTGTCGGAGTACTGTTATGTGAGGTTGTCATTGCATTATGTCAGAGTTAACAGACTTCGAACGTGGGCAAATTGTTGGAGCACGTATGGTAGGTGCTTCCGTAAGCAAGGTAGCCGAGGTGTTTAGTGTTTCAAGAGGCACTGTATCGAAGATTTATTCCGCATATTTGAAAAGCGGAAAAACATCATCTCCTAAATCACAGTCCTGAGTGATCGTGACAGACGATCATTAAGATTAATTGTGACGAAAAATAAGAAGACCACAGCTTCAAAAGTTACTGCTGAAATGAATGTTGTGTTACCGAACCCTGTGAGTACCAAAACAATTAGAAGGGAGCTTCATAAACAGGGAATTGCTGGCCGTGCTGCAATTGAGAAGCCACTCATCAGTGATGCTAATGCCCGTAACAGGAAAAGGTGGTGTGTTTAAAGTCATAAAGCCTGGACTATAGAGCAGTGGAAGCAAGTAATATGGTCTGACGAGTCTTCTTTCACATTGTTTTCCCACTTTGGCCGAGTTTACGTCTGGAGAACGCCATCTCAAGCCTATAATACAGACTGCTTGTTGCCAAGAGTGAAACATGGCGGGGGTTGTGTTATGGTTTGGGCAGCCATATCGTGGTTCTCTGCTAGCCCCATGATAACTGTGTCAGGGCACATGACTGCCAAGACTTATGTGAACATTTTGGCCGATCAAGTTCATCAAATGGTACAAACTTTGTTCCCGGATGATGATGGTGTCTTCCAAGACGACAAAGTACCGGTTCAAACAGCTCACATTGTCCAGGACTGGTTTTCTGAGCACGAGGATGAGTTGTCCTATCTCCCCTGGCCACCACAGTCATCAGACCTGAATATAGCGGAAAAACATCATCTCCACGGATGATGTTTTTCCGCTATATTCAGGTCTGATGACTGTGGTATACATTGGTATACATTGGAACGGAAAGTGCGGTCTCGTTATCCACCGCCAAAATCGTTATCTGAACTTGCCACCGTTTTGCAGGAAGAATGGTATAATATTCCCTTGGCAAACATCCCGGAACTGTATTTATCCATTCCGAGTAGACTGCAAGCTGTTTTGGATGCCAATGGGTTTCCTACACCATATTAAGCAAAGAAACAGGTTTTTTTATAGTTATTTCCATATTTTTGTCCAACCCCTGTAAATAATTTTAGTGAAATCATTTGCGAAATTGTAGTATTGCTTTGTACAATGTAGCATGAAAAACTTGAAACAAACGAAGTTGTGCCAGCAAAATAAGATTACAGAGGCAACTCTTATTTAGCTTTAAGGTAAATGACTATCTCGCTAAATTGCCGAAATATCGCCAAGTCGGCAATGGTTTTGATGACTAATTTTTGTTACATTTGGCAAGAAATAGCCAAAAGCTGCCAAAGTTGGCGACATTTTATAAGGTATGTCTCCCACTTCCCTAGCGCGCCTTCATTGTGTAACGGTAGCACGCTGGGCCGATATTCCAGAGGTCCGTGGTTCGATTCCCGGCGAAGGCGGTTGCTAATTTTTCATCCTGCCTGCTTCAGAAAAATCCTAATGTCTCTACAATTTTGGTTCGGCCCCTGTTAACTGTAACTGTAATTAACATCGTGATTGAATAAATGTTATTAAATCTTATATGTAACTGTAACCGCATCCGCATTCCAGAAAAAGTCCGATTTTGTGTCAAAATACCTATATGATAACAATGTTATATATAAATCTAATATATATCCTAATTCGCACTTTCGAGACATGAAAAACTTTAGTTGAATTTCGTCAATCGGCCTAGTAGAAGGACTAGAACTGTCCCTCTCCCCCCTTTTTTTGTGCGGAGTGTGCATATGTTCACTACAAACTGAAACATGTCATATATATATATTTGGAATCACCAAGGTTCATTTTTTAAAATTTAAAATTCAAAAATTGAGTTTTGAATGTTAATTTTGTCTTACTTAAGTAAAAAGAAGATACATACTTTAATATGCTTTAAAGAAAAACGAGTTTTTTTTCTATAGCATTTCCAAAGACCGATTTAGTTTTATTAAAAATGTATGTAATAATGAAGAACGTTTCCAGTCATTCTTCTCCGCTCTAAGTTGAATAAACATCATTTTTCAGAATACTTCTAAAATACAGATCTTTATTCCATTCTTCTGTAAGCATCTGAAAATACATGGGATTTTATTGATATTGATAAGATTTTTATCACGGAAAGTTGGTTGCGAAAGTATAAAGCAGAAAGATGAAGTGGTTCCAACAGATAAAGTTTATAGAGGAATTTTCAGTTTTTATTGGATTAAGTTGCTAATGAAACAATGTTTCAATGT